CATGAAGCTGGAGCAGGGTGTCCTGGTGAGGCTGGAGCAGAATGTCCCCTGCAGGGAAATCACCAGTGGGGAGGTGTTGGCATCACCCACCCATGGGGCCACCCACTCCGCATCCTGCAAGCAGGGTTGGTCTCACCTGCGGGCACCCAGGACGGAGTCACGGAGACAACGTCACGGGGGGAGATGTCACACAGCTGCAGCAGCTTCTCCAGCGACATGGGCTGTGTGGGGTCGGTGCTGCCTAGGGGGAGCACAGCAGCTGGAATGTCTCACAACCGCAAAATCAGCCCCAACTGAGCCTAGCAGGGTGCCCCCTCCAAAAAGACCCCAACATTTACCTGGGAGAACAATTTCTGGGGCCACGCCTTGGGGGGGAAGCTCCAACTGTGAAGGGAAGCAGAATGGGATCTTTCTGCTGTGGGTGAGGAGATCACAGCCTCCCCCCGGCCTGCATTTTGGCCAGATGCTGGGCTGCAGCGTGAGAGCAGCCCAAGGACACAGAGGTGCAATAATACCTGAGGAGTGCTAGTGGGGACCCCACTGGGCTGCGGTGCCCACCCAGGTACCTGCAGCTGCTGTTTTGCTGGCTGCTGGTCCACTGCAGGATCAGGGCTGCTGAAATCCCCCTTCTTGCTGTGCTGAAGGGTGGCTGAAAGGAGAGCACCAGGAGTGGGGTGTCCTGAGATCGCCCACCCCACCCAACACAGCCCTCTCTGGGGCCAGGCTCACCTTGGTTAAGGGTGAAGACCTTGTGCGGGTCGTCGCCACACTTGGAATGGTCCCTCAGCAGTTTGAACATGCGGGTGCTCCTCAGGGCACAGCGGAAGTTGGTCTTCCACTTGGCTGGGTCCTCAGAAGACTCCTCATACCGCCCACTCACCTCTGCCCAGGCCTGTGGGTGCAGACGGGTGAGCACAGGGCCCCTGCCTCCATGAGCATGGAGGTTTCAGGGATGACTGGTCTTCTCCTGCCTTCCTATTTCCCACATCCCACCCACCTTGAAGACCTCAACTTGCTGCTGGTCACCACCCTCTCCCAGCCCCCTAGAAGGCGTGGTCACTCCCACATTCCCACCCTGAAGACCCGGAGAGAGCGCTTGTGTAGCGATCCCATCCCAGGGTCTCTTGAAGACTCTGAGGTTCGTGCTGGTGACCCCAGTCCCACCTACCTTGAAGATCTCCAGGTCGCTGCTGGTGATGTCCTTCCTGGCGTTGTGCTTCCAGGGGACGCGGAAGGTGGTGCGCTCGGGGTCGAGCCAGCACAACCCGCGGTAGTTCCCGCTGCTGATGGCGCTCAGCAGCCACGGCCCGAACCGCAGCTTCTGGGGCTCCCTGCGGGCAAGGGGCCGTCACCGGGGGGACCGGGGGCACCCGGGGACGGCGGCACGGGGGTGCTGGGGCGCCGCTTACCCTTCGTTCTCCAGCGCTGCCATAGTGCGGGCTCCGCCGAGCTGCCGCGACGGGACGGGCGGCGATCTCGATGCGGAGGGCGGCCGCTTACCGCCCGGTCCTTTATCCGCCTACTCCCGTTTTCCTGGAAATCACGTGTCCCTTCCGAAAGTGAAAGTGCCGCCGCTCCCGCGGCGGGCGGGAAGGGTGTCCCGCCGCTCCCGAGGGTGCCCGGGGGATGCTCCAGCCCGACCCCGCCCCCGAGGATGCTGCTGCGCAGCCCCGCGCAACCCCCTCCCCAGACTAATAATATTTAAAATATATAAACCGGACTTAAAACGTGAGCTTGGGGCCCCCAGAGCCCTGGGGCTCACCCGCTCCCGCCGGGGTTTCCCGGGGCGCGCCCGAGCTCAGGGCTGGGAACCCCCGGGGCAATTTCCACTGTTTATTCTAACCCTTCTTCTCCCGGGTTGCCTCGGCTGCAGCTAAGAAGAAATGTTAAGAAATAAAAAGCAATTGAAGGCCAAGGGCCGGAGGGCAGCGCTGGGCATTGAAACAGAGGCGAAGCAGCCCGTCCATAACCATGACAGGAGGCAGGTCACGGGCAGCCCCAGCGTCCTCCCCGAGCCCCCTGGAGCTCTGCGGGAAGCAGCAAAAACCACTCAAATCCCATGAAGTGTTTTTCGAGTTCATTATCCAGGGATCAGATTGGGGGTCAGTGGTGCTGAAACATGGAGTTGCTGCTGCCTCTTTCCCGCTGTGCTGCTTTATGAGGAAATTTCCTCTTTGTTCCAGGAACTTCTCCCTACTGCTTACTAGGCATTCCTACATGTTTTTCCAGAATATTGCTTTTTGTTTTCCAGGAAATCTTCGGCTTCCTTCCTAAAAAAAACCCACTGTTTCCCACGAAATTTCCTAGTCACTTCACAGGCTATTTCTTCCTTGTTTCCTGGGAAATGTCCTTGCTGCTCTCCAGAGTCCTCCATTGCTTTCCAAGGTTTTTCCCTCTTCTTAGAGGACCCCCACTGCTTTCCTAGGAAATTCCTCCATGACACTTACTCCCTGGAAAGCAAGAAATTATTTCCGAACTAATACCATTCTTCCTCTCCACACAATTCCCCTTTTGCTTTCCACCAATTTCTCCTTCACTTTCCTGGAAATTTCCCCTCTAGGAAATATTACTGTTACTTTCTAGAGAAATTCCACTTCTCCTTTTCAGGAGTTTCCCTGGTACTTGAGGAAATTTCCTCCTTGCTTCCTCGAATTTCTCTCCCTTTATCTCTAGGCTATCCCCCCTATAGAAAGTCCCCCCCATTGCTTTCTACAAATTCCCAGAGTATTTCTCCCTTTGTTTTCAAGGACTTCCCCCTAGTGCTCTCAAGGAAATTCCTACATTGTCTTACAGAAAATTTCCCATTTATTTTCCAGAATATTTAACTTTCTAATATGGTTCCCCTTTGCTTTCCAGGAATTCCCCTATCAGTTGCCAGAATTTTCCACTTGCTTCACAGGAATTTCTCCCCAGGGTTTTAGGAAATTTCCTTGTTGCGTTCCAGGAAATTCCACCAGCCAAAACTGACTCAAGCACCTGAACCCAGGACAAGGTTCAAGTACAGCAGCTCCAGCAAAAGGTATTTAAGGGCAGTGAACACCATGAAACCCAAACAAACAGGAGCCATGGCAGCCAGGGGCAGGGTGGGAGCAAGGGACAGGGCTGGCAGGGACAAGGTATGACTGGGAACGGCCTGGGGTGGGTGGAGAGATGCCACAGGGACGAGCGAGGCTGCACAAGGAGTTGACCCCTTGCTGGCTGACAGCTCCTGCCCCAGGGACAACTGCCACCTGCAGGGAAGGGAGCAGAGGTGTGTTTATTTACTTTTATTCCTCATTATTGCAATCAATACCAAGAGGTTTCAGTTAATAGATGATTAATTAAGTTGATGAGGTTTCTCCCATTTTTTTTTTGCAAGCAGGACCCTGCCTGCCCAGGGAGCTCCCGTGCAGCCATGGTCACTACCCCCTACCACCTCCCCAGGTCCTGCTGACTTGGGACATGTCCAAGAAGCTAAAAATCAGCCCCATTAGGGTCACTAGCTCCAAAAGAGTGGAAGAAGAGCTGGTGATTTGAGAGGGAAGACTCAGTTTTACAAAGAGGTTTTCAAAAGCATCCCAAAGGACAAGGAGAGCTTTCCCTGAACCTCAGCCTTTGTCTGCACCAAATTTTCCCCCAAACTTAACCCAACAATCCAAACCTGCACCTCACACACACCCCTGCAGCCACAAGCCACCCTGCTTCAGGGGACAATCCTTGCAGGCAGGAGGGCAGGCTGAAACCCCATTAATTTTACTGGTAAAGTGTTTTTTGAGGACTCTCCCTGTAAATCACAAAGCAGCAAGGAACGGGGCACCTCAAAAAAAATAAAATAAATCTTTCTCTTTTAATCCACCCAAGGGAAATCCAGAGCAAGAGCAGCATCACAGCACCACACACAGCACAGACAACCATCATCTTTGCACAGATTCCTTCCCGGATACATGGAGAAGTCATTAAGAAAAATAAAAAAAATTATTCACATATGCATAGTGACAAGTAACAAATCAGCCACAGAACAACTTTCTTGAAGAGAAAAAGGATTCATCAAGGAAGAAGGCCCTCAACATACAGGTTTTACAAAAACCTAACTCAAGACCATTGAAACAGAGGTGGTTTCCTTTTAAACATTAAAAACAGGGATTTTTTTTAATTAATTTAAATACACATTTGAAACACAAACACCAAGCAAGCGCCTGGAGAACAAAGCAAAAAGAAGGAATGAAAAGTGAATTCAACCAGTTTAATTTCAACACCAAAGTTGGGTGGATTGCACCAAATGGAATAAATAACGGAGAAGATCACACTGGGTTGGAAGGTCTCACACTTAAGGTCATTTAAGCTAGAATTAATTACACAGCCCAAAAGAGTACTGAACGAGGAAGTCCCCTGACAAGTGATATTAGCTGGGGCAGTGTCCCTTTGACAGAGCAGGTTGTAGGTGTGGATTTGGCCTCTGGCACCCAACAGTGATCACCGCCCCAATAGCCAATGGCATGATGAGCTTTTTCTGATGCAGAGGACTCGCCCTGCAGGTTATGCACCTGCAAACAGCTCCTGGATCAGGGTGCAGGAACCCCCTGCCTCTTCCACACTGGCTGACTCCAAACACACCCAAGTTGAACATCAAAACACAACCAGACCTTGTGTTTTCACCTTGCAAGGTGAGCACACAGGAGCAGCATTTCTAGTGCGGCTCCCTGTGGAGTTTGGGCACCACAGAAATGGAGCATGTGCTTCCCTTCGCGCACGTGGGGTCAGGCTGGAAAAAAATTAGATCAGGTACTCTACACCTGCAGCCACCACTTTATCACCCTGGGGGCGAGCAGGTTGAAGGAATGTAAGTGGTTTCTTGTTGTTTGGTTTTCCCTCCCCACAACCCCAC